TGTGTGTGGGCAGTAAATGTAAATTGCTTGATTGGTTATTGTTTTATCAGGAATTATATTGTATCCAGCCTGAACCGAGGGTCGCTAAATTCTTTGTCCCTCTACTTAGCTTTCATTTGGATGTAAAACTGGTTGCATCACTGCGGGGAATTCAAGAGAAACAACAACAGGGCAGCAAATAATGATAGTAGCCAAAGCAAGAGGGGTTTAATAAGTAAAGGAGATTTAAAGTCTGCATCAGTACTACTATGTAAAAATTACAGCTACAGTGCAATCTACCAAAATCTGTGATTTATAAACGTATCATAAATGCATAAACAAACACAAAAAGAAGATGCTTTACAAAAGGAGCAAATCATCAGCACAACAATAACCAACACTCAGGGGAAAGAAAATAAGAAGAAACTTGTATAATGCACCAAAGCAGTGGAGCCAGTTAAAAATGCTACATCTGTATGTCAGACTTTATTCTTTTGACACATATACAACGTAGATACAACGTAGATACAACGTAGATACACGTGGGTCTATGTTGGTCTGCGTGGTGTAAGTTTTATCATCGACCCATGTTTGAGATTTGAGACTGTTTTTTTTTTTCAGGTTAAAATATTTTACACGGATTTCTCGTTTTCCTGCTGACAGGAGATAGCGTCATTTTTACTGGTGCACTTGTGGCAGCATGTACCTCTGCATTGGAAATTTAGTACTCAGCTATTCACAGACATAGATATAAATGGACAATTAATTTTTAGTATATTATGGACCTTGCATCTTCTTTTGCTGACAGAATTTGAAAGAACGAATGCTGTGATTTTCTATTTGGGTTCTCAGACTTTTCACATTAACAGGGCATCAAATACGTTTTGTAAAGTTATCTGGCATCTCTCAGGTACCCACAAGGTGTTCTTTGGCAACAGGTTATGGTAACAGGAGGAAGAGAGAGGAAAATCAGTCCCAGGTTGTCACATATGGATGCTTGTACAGGAACCATCACATTTCCTAAAACTAAGAGTTGTTTTTGGTGCCTAAGCACATTTCTCTCCCCCCCTCTCTCTCTCTCTCTCTCTCCCTCTCTCTTTTGGCACATCTTTTCCATCAAGTTTCCTATGCCAAAGGAGGCTTGTGTATGTCTCTCTGACTCCAGTGGCATCTCACAGAAAGTCCTGTAATTGACGCCTTGGGAACAAGTTGGTTTTTTGGACCTGTTGCGATTTGCTCTCTTTCTCCCTTCGTGGGTTCTGCACAGTTATTTTGCAGCTCACTCCATCTGGAGGCCTGTAGGAGAAACATTGAAGTACAATTAAGAGATGCTGAGACATTATTCTACCTTTAAATCCTGGGCCCTTGGTACTACAGGGAAAATTATAAAGCTGTTTCTCCAACAGCTATTTTAGTAGAGCCCCAACTAAGTGCACCTATGCAGATACGGGAAGAACAAGCGACTCCACACAGAAAGGCCTCGGCCTGGATTCAGAGCCTGGACCTTCTTGCGATGCAGCAGTGGTGCTAACCACCTTGCCACCAGGATATCCTTGTGTCAAACAGAGCTTGGAAATTATAGAAATGTTTTAATAAGAATGTAAATATGTTTTTAATTTTTTTTTAAAACGAGAAAGCACACATTACAACCTGCTTGCATTACATAAACCTCAAAGAAATGTATCATCTTCATCTGCTACGTCTAAGCTTTCAGACACTTTATCGTGTGAATGAATGCTTTTGCTGAGCTAAGGCCAAGCAAAAGGAAGTGCAATTAAGCCACCAGATAATCCTGATGACAGCAGCAAAAAATAGCTATTTAGCTTATGGCCAGTAACTGTGGTCAGGACATTTTGACCTTACTCATGTGCAGAGTGACCAAGAGAAATGGGGGTGGGGCACAGTGCATGGCCCACTGATGAAAATTGGCTGCACTCATCTAAAGAATATATGAGTGATGGACAGTAACGGGTCTCTGCAGCAGGTTAATGTTTGCAGCTGTAGGATAAATCACACCGTCAGTGAACTCGCCTATCAGCATGGTCTCACTTTGCTTTTTAGCTCATACCTCTTTCATGTAGAAGATGGTTTGAATATGTTGCAGTTTATGCAGAAAAACAGCAGAGGTTGTGAAATAAGTAACATAATGCAGATCTACGGTGTTGTCAGTGACGTTCTTTGACAGCTTGTGGTGGTGGAGAGGTTGGAATGGTTTTTATACTATTAGAGTCTTTACTATAAAATACTGTGAGGAAACTGTTGTTGTGATTTGGAGCTCTATAAATAAAGCTCAACTAATCAGAAGTATCTGTAACCGATTGATTGAGAGGTTTACGGTACGTAGATATGGTGCAAAATATGAAATTGTAATTCTTTAGACCTGCAAATTGAAATTCTGCAAGGTATTCAAAGAAATTTGTCCCACACATCATTATCTATTACAGATTTGGTGATAATACTCCAGGACATCATTAGTCATGAAAGTTTATCCAGATTCAAGCAAAACATGTCAGAATAAAATTTGTGTTTCTGCTGCTTGTACTTAAGAAAAAATCGTATCTAACAGATGTGAGTCATCTGGAATTTCTAGTGAGTTGTTCCTCTTGTATACAAAGGTTCTGGTCTATAAATATTTGTAGAAGTCTTAATATATTTGATATATTATATCGAGCTTCCAGTGAGTCCAATGTCCTAAATTCCCCATTCTCAAAGAGGTCAAAGATTCTAACAATGCCAGTTCTTTGTCAAAGTGTAAACTTTGCAAGATTATCTGTCAGTGTTGTTATACGATAAAGAGGATGAATATTATAAATATTTTTGTTTCCTCCAGGCCCATAATGCATAAGTTATCACATGGTTGTTTTTCCACAATGTGTGAGAGCTCTTTCAGGTTCCAAGGATGAGGGGCTACTCGGCTGAAAGCTCATGGTGGTCAGACGAGCAGATGGTATGATAGGAGTAACAGAGCAGGAGGCTCTCAGAAGGGAAGGAATGGTGATGTGCAGAAGAAAATTAAAAATGAGAAGCAGAATCTTAAAATGAATGCGTTATTTTACGATATTTTGGTGGTTCTAATGTTGTCATGTTTAGATTTACAAACAGCTCATGCTGCAAACCCCGACGGTACCAAGCAGCAAGGCTGAATTCAGGCTGGTTCATTATTTCTTCCACTATTTAGGATAATTATTGCCAAATTACTTTCTACCTACATATTAGCCTGATTTCTTCAACACATTCAGTTAACGCTGCTAATTAGTGAGAATCATTTGTTAATGTCAGAACAATGTCATCGGCGTACAATAAAATGTTATTGTTTGTTACCGACTCTTATTTCTTGAATATCTGGATTTAGCCAATGCTAAGGCTCCTAATCAGCTGTGCCTCTTTTTATTTTGAAGGGATCAGATAGCAGACACATATCTTCCCATTCAGTTCTACTGACTTTTTCCAGCCTCAGTGGAAACAGCAGCACCTAACTTTTTATGGGTGCGGAGATAATGAATGATATAGAGTAGGCGTCTTTTGTTATGTTATAGGATTCAAGCCCTAATTAATCTTACCTCATCTTTTATTGAAGTTAGAACCTTCTCTCCCCTGAAAGCCAGTATCTTGGATAATACTTATACATATTGGCTCTGTACACTCATTCAGGGAGTCTGGAGTCCACAAATGGGTTGTTAAATACCTCTATCAGTAGGTTATAAATGTTCTCCTTGTTTCTCCGTGTTCTCCACGACATTTCCCCGGCTGAATTGCAGAGAATGGGTTATCCATTTCCAGCATGGAGATGGGGATACCAAGAGGCTTTGATAACTGTGATACACGAATGATCCACAAACCCACCTACACCCGTATCGATCTCTAGGCTCTACGATTTAGTGTATAGAATATTTTAAAGCTCTCATTAATTCAGGAATTATTGGCTTGTCTTTGTTTATTCTCAGTATAGCTGTTAATGAGGTGAAACTGGTTTAAACCTTCCTGGTTTAATAAGGGCTGCTTCTTATTTTGTTGTATAATAAGCTTCCTTTAATTCTAATTGGATTCTTTTATTTTACTTAATGTTCTATTTCAGCTTCTTTGGCAGCACAGTCCTTTTTTTCCTGACTTGTATGCAACATAATCATGCCACTCATAGAGAGTAGCATTTTATTTAATTTTTTTATTGGGTTGTATGCAATTTGTGGGAAAAAGGACTCTCAAGTCTATAGTGAGCAATAGTTTTTGAAACATCTGATTATACAGATGTTATGTCTTAATAAAGGCTGTGCTATAACATTTGGCAGAATGTTCAGTGGCTACTAGTTTAGATGGACTCCATATAAATCAAGTTGATACTCATTTGTCAACATGAACTAGAAGTCACTTTTTTAAAATGACTGTGAGCTAATGATGTGGGGCTAACGACACTTTAAATGATCCATTGATGGAAAAACAAACTCTAAAGACCTACATTCCTCTGCTTTTGCTTCCTATTATTGAATCCTGTTGGGAGTTTTTGGAAAAACAGCTTACTGTAAATAGAACACGCGCCTCCACAGCTACTTAGTCATCACTGACCTCCTAAGTGTCAACAGTCATGAACCTGCCAGCAATTGGGACACAGTCCCTCCCAGAGCGCTGTCACTCCCAGGGCATAGAGATCCATCACTGCAGCCGGATGTTGCTGCAGTGGGGAGAGCGTGAGTCCGCTGCTGTATACATCCAAGCACCCAAGAGCCCTGACTTCTTGGCTTGGCTGGCGGGACAGCAGACTTCTCACCCGGGAATGGGGGAGGAGGAGGAGGAGTAGGAGATGATTTCACCACCGACCATATCCCCATCTCCTCTGCTCATTATCATCAACACACACCCTTCACCTCCACCCCTCCCTCTCCCCCTTTTCTGAGGTGTCTGGTGACTCTGGCCCGTGGTATATTGCTCCTCCCTTCATCGTGGAGGAGAGAAAAAGAGGCTGCAGCCCACTACTACCATGTCCCAAGGGCCCCTTTGCTTGCTTTGCCTGCCTGCCCCTCCTGCTGCTCAGTACAGCTGTGGCTCAGTACCAGACCCTGACCAGCTGGGATCTCAACCCTTCCAGAGTCAAGAGGAGGATTGTGTGAAAGCTCTTCAACACTCTTATTCACTCTGCATTAGCTGAATTACACTGACTCTAACTACAACTGCCAAGGCTACTGGTGGAGCTGAGGAAATCCTTTTTTGAGATGGCTATGGCACCTCGGGCCCTGGCACTTCTGCTGCCCCTGGTGCTCATCCTGCTGAGCCCGGCACCGACTCCCACCCTGGGCGGATGCCCATCGGCTTGCCGGTGCTCTTTTGCCATGCTGCAGTGCCTGGAACCTAATGGCATAACCAGCATCCCGCCGCTTGCTTTGCAAGAGAGCGAGAACGTGACAGAGATGTGAGTACGATGTGCACCTGCTCTGCATGTTCCTTTGAATGAGCATGAGTGTGTCAGATGTGCTCACATGCCTTGATGTTGGTTGTCAGCCAAGCTTGATTTTCTCAGTTTGTGTTCACCTTATGTTGTCACTAAAACTTGTTTCAGTGCCAGAGTTTTGGTTTTAATGGGGCAATTTTCCAAAGCCTTCACATCTGATGTGAATTCTCACATTAGGGCCACATTTGTAAATAATTTGTGGGCTTTTTTCAGTTTAAGAGAGTTTATATGTCTGCTCTGGGTGTTTAGCTCTACAGTCATAGCTAAGGTTGTGCATATGCGTGAGATGGAAGCAGAAGTAGCCCATAGACAGAGTTCAGTAAGACACATTGACTTTATTCTTCTTTTAATGCTAATGCATTATAAGTTTCTGAAGTTCAAATGCACATGTACTTTAGTTTTTCATTATTTTCATATTAAAAAGTCAGATACAGCTTGTACTGTGGTAAAGTGGTCTGTCACAACGCTGGTGATGTCTGGTTGTGCCTCACAACATCTTCCATAATTTCTCATCTCCAGAGAATGATGTCATTGCTAGCCAAATTTAGGTTCCTCTTGAGGTAAAATAAAGCTTCTGCTATCTGAGATGCATTAGAATGTCAGTAATTTAGACACTTTGGCTATTGGCAATCAATATTGGATCTGGAGCTGACAGTAACTGCCACAGAGTGATGGAAACTGATGTCTTCCAGCCAGTCTGTGTCTGTGTCCCTCATGATCTTCAGTGGATCTCCTCGCTCTACTTTTGGCAGTTTCAAAGTTTGACCTCTTTTTGCTGATGATATGTCAGGTTTGAGTGCAAAGTTTTCAGAATAATACAAATTTATCGCATCACATAAACTATGTGATGATTTCTTGTTAGTTATATTTAAGGGAAGGAAAAAGAAGTTGTACAGGTGCATTATAAAGTTTAGGTGGAAAAAATATTTACTTGATGTGTCATAGTTAAAAACACATACTAGACTATCCAAACCATGTGTAGAAAGTATTTCTTAATTTTTGTGGCTCTAATATAAATTCCATTCTTGAATGATTGTCTGACCCGCTAAGGTTGGTCTGACCGAGTACGTCTTCCTTTAGTGGGCTTCAGTATGTTGGTAAAATATGAAATGGAAGATGGCTGATCTGTTGATTTTTTTATTTATTTATTTTTTGGTTAGTTAGTTCTTCACAACCAGACATCACGCTTTAAAAAAAAAATCATCACCCAGCTGATTGACAGGCAGGCCCTGGGGAATGTGCTTGAACAAAACTCATGAATAACTGAGATGAATTGAGATTTCTCAGTCTGCGACAGCATGTCTGCAGCAGATGACTGTTATTTAAAATTGGCTTTTTAAAACTTTGCACTGAAAAAGAAGTAGAAAACTGACCACCTGTGATTCAAAGAAAGCTGCTGTATTATTATGCAACCCGCCATCAGCTCCAACATGGAAAACTAAATGTCACTCTCCGCACCGCCACGCTGTTCTCTCTTTGTTCCAGTTCCCGGATCTGAGCAATTAGCACCTGTTAAGGAACTAAACTTCTGAAATGCTATTTCGTTGGAGAAAGTCAATCCACTGCCACTTTCTACTTCTATTCACCTATACTCCCCTTCTTTTTTCCACTGTACTATAGCCCCTCTATCACACCAGGTGTTTCCTCGTATCTGCAGCTGAACATGCTTGGTAGGGCTCAGGTTGAGGCTTGACATTCTCTCTGAAATCAATAAGCGAGTGGGCTTCTGTTTAGCGTAGTGCTCTACATGCCAGCAAACAACAACACTTCTCTGTATTGGCGGTGCAAGGGAATACAGCCGATATGTGGAACAAACAAGGGGCCATTAACTGTGGAACACAGGCTGAAATTCATCATAAGCTGAGTTATAAATTCAATTTTGTGAATTGCCAGTCAGTGCCCCCACCCGGGAACAATAGATGATATACAACCCACTTGGCTCAATCCAATAAGTAAGGGCGATGGGTGATCCTGGGCCCACCTGCCCTGTAATCATATTATTGCTGTGTGGGTCAATCAGACATGAATAAAAAGGTTTGTGTGTTGCAGCTGACAAACAGCGAACTGGGAAGTTGAAACAATGGCACACGCTGAAAGTGACCATCATTAATTAGAAATTAGCACAGGTATGTTTATGGCATAGGTCCAGTCTTCTCTTTCTTTCGGTCTTATTCATTTTTCGATTGCATAACCTCCACTTTTGCACATTTTTCAAACCTGTGAATCATAAGCTGTAGCATAACCATAAATTATCGAGAGCTGACCTTTCTATTTGGTGTTTGCATGCTCATCTTTTGCCTTTGTGGGTCTTTTTGGGTTCTCCTGTTTCTTGCCACAATCCATCGATGCATGTTAGGTTAGCTGGTGATTCTAGATTGACTTTTTCTGTGGATTTGACAGTTAGGGAAGGCTGGTGACCTGTCCAGGGTTATCAAAAGGTGACTGTAGTTACTGTGACGTCACCTATTGGTTTCTGGCATCCCATTATGAAGCCTGGAGATGAGCATTTCCTTTCATTTTGAAACATAGTATCACCAAGATTTACTAAGTAGACTTCTATGTTTTATTTAGAGTGACCGGAAATGAGTGACTGGGCCAAAAAAGTCTTTACCGGTGTGAAGTCAGACTTTTATTGGACCAAAGTTTTATTGTCGTTTCAGATAAAATGCACATTTAAGGCACTTTAATTTTTCCAACAGAGAAGCTAATCCAACCCCAACAAATAAATCCAACATCAAACCTTTATTAAGAAAACTGGAGTGGAGCAGAAACCAAATTGTGGAGTCTAGAAACCCCTGTGCCTACATCCATCTTTTATATACCGTCTATGGCAGCAGTCCCCTTTTTTTTGCCACGGACCAGTTCAATGTTAGACAATATTTTCACAGACTGGCCTTTAGGTGTCGCAGATAAATACAACAAAATAAAATCATATGACCAAGACAAAACCTGTGGTATTTTTTAAATATAATAATAAATGAGAATTCACAGTGTAATTGTGTAACTTTATTAGCAGCGTCCTCCTGAGATGCACCAACAACGTTGAGAGTAACATCCTCCTCTCTGCCCCTTAATGCTCTCTGGTTGCTATGGTAATGCCTAGATATTTTTTTCAAAATAACAAAAACAACTACAACACGGGAAAAGACCCAGGGAAACCGAGTTAACGATAAAAACCCTGAAAACCACAAATTTCACACCCAAGCCCCAACTCTCACAGCCCGGTAGCGAACGACTCACGGACCAGAACCGGTCCATGGCCCGGGGGTTGGGGACTGCTGGTCTATGTCACAGCTAATGTCATTTCAGCAGAAAAGTTAATTAAGCAAAAATGTAAATGTTGTTTGATGTTTAGAGCAGTGATATCCGATATCCTTGCTCTCAGGGATTGCTTGTAGATAATCTGTCCTCTTAGCTTAAACTTTGGCTATCGTCAGCGTGAGCATCCATCACAAGGATGCATGACAGAAAGTAAAGAAAAGCATTATAGGTCCCCTTCAAGCAAACAGCATTCATCAGCTTTTGAATCATATGTAGGATCTCACCTTCAGGGTCGTTCTACACGTCCTCACATAGCCCTTTCAGCTCATGTCACAGGTTTTGTTGGAGGAAAATAGTTTGTTAGTCAGCACGAAGCTTTTCTCAAAATATCGTTTCCCATTTTAGGTAAAGGTTGTATTTGTGAATCTTTTTTTAGCGGCTTGGATTGAAATTTCAACAGCTGAACTCTTCTGAATAATTTGCAGCTACTTAATCATTGCTGAATGTTTTTAGTAATTGCATTAATCAAAAATACTCTTACCTCAATGAAAAATATTTTATTTTGAAAACATGATATTTTCAGTGTTTTTATTCTTTGTAAGTATTGTTTTTTTATTGCCTAAAATGTGTTGGGGGGAAAAGATCACTCTGATGATTTAGAATTCAAAAACTCAATAAAACTTATCAAATATGGCACACTAGGCATTAAGGGGTTAAGATATTTGATTATCATTCAGTGGCATTGTTTCATAGGTACATAACCACTCAAATGTTTGATCAGAAAGGCCATAACTGACTGTCATTAATCCAACTAGTGATCATAGATATTTATTTTCTATTTAGATATACAACAGGTTTATCTAATGCAACTTCATCGTATCAAAATACTAATTGATCACTGAAAGAAAACATTTTCTGGTTGTGTTAGCACAGCCTAAAAGTCCTGTGCTGATTAAGGAAGCAGTTTGGCTAGTCGAGCCTCTGGAGCTTTTTGTGGGTTTTATGAGAAATTACTTTCTTTTGAAATTTGTCAGAGTATTCCTGGTCTAAGAAATGAAGGCTATTCCATGTGGAAAATTGCCCCCGAAAATGGAAGATTTCATAAAACAGTGTGTACTACTCCCATCAGAGAGCAGGGCAAACCGGCTCTAAACAGAATAGAAAGAGAAGTAAGAGGCCACAGTGCACCGCTGAGCAAGAGCACATCAGAGTCTGAGAAACAGATGCCTCATAGGTCTTCAACTGGCAGCTTCATTACTCTCAAAACATCAGTCTCAACAGTGAAGGGCCAACTCCAGGATATTGGCTTCTAGGCAGAAAAAGGTACATGTGAAAAGGGCAAAATGGGCAAAAAACACAGGCAGTGGGCAGATGATGATGATGATGGGGAAGGGTGTTATGGACAGATTCTGATGTTTAAAGATGTTCCCACTAATGACACAGAACGTGATATTTTGGGGGGTGTTGGTGGTGGTAAAGTGGGAGATTTGTACAGGATAAATCACTTCATTGTACAAGACCGTGCAATATCTTATGGATGTTAATTGGTTTGAGCCAACAGGACGGTGGCACAAAGCACAGCTCCAAACTATGCAAGAGCTATTTAGAGAAGAAGCGGTCAGCTGGTATTGTCTTCAATGGAGTGTTCAGCACAGTAATCATATCTTGACTATGTGCTCATCAGACCAACTAAACCTATTATAGCCTCATCAGGAACCATGGGGTGAAAAATGGATCCAATGCACAAGTGGCAAAAACAGCAGTTATTCAAGTTGTCAAAAGCAAGTCAGTCCCCTTAGAGTTCAGCATTAAAAAGCATCAACGCCAGCAACAACTCGCAAGTCGTCGAAGAATGCACATTTTTCCTCGAGACCGGTGGTAGCCAGTTGGTCACTGACTGGCTTCCATGCTGGTGTGACTGGTGCCTAAAGTAAACCTCTGGCTTTGAATAACCAACATGGCAGGTGCCAAAATGCTAAACTTGAAACTTCGAAATGCAGAGGTGAGGTGAGTTTTGCAAAAGCAATGTTGTTTACTGGTGTTATTGCTCTCAGTATTCTGTTACTGTTATTTTTCATAGTGACAGTTTGTTTTTTACATTTCTGCATATTGTTTCATCTACGTACGATAGAAGTGCGTTAATACTGCAGAGAACACATCTTTAAATCTTTCTTATTATTTGTAACAAAAAACTTGTGGTTGTTTAAACATTCCCTTTCTATTTTTCATATTCTTCTCTATTGTGCTTGCCTCAAGGCAGTCTCCAGAAAAGGGCATTATTTTTATATTTTCTATTGATTCTGGCCATTTGGTTCATTTTACACTTTCTGAAGGATACTATAATGCATTCAACAAAGGGCTAAAAACACTCACATAAATAAAATCCTTCAATTTTTGTATCTACACATCTTTTTAAAAGCCCATTAAGTAAGTGTCCTCCTGAGCAAAATGAGCAACATTTATATGGAGCCTAGCACGGACTGGAGAGTTGGAGAAGGGCACAGAATGAGGTGGACAGATCTCCAGTGAGATCCTTGGAAGGTCTAAACTGGCCATCTATTCAGATATCTCCTGAAAAGAGCTGGCTGTCCTTCCATTGAGTGCTACATCGATCTGCGGCTCACTAGTTATTCTGAGGTAGGCTCTGTCTGGAAAAGTGGAAAGTGACTCATTGAGAAGAATTTCCCGTTCGCCTGGCACATCTTAGGGCATTATTTTTCCCCCCACATGAGTGGCACATTCGCTTTTATTAGGCTTTGCCATTTGTGCGTCCCTGGACTTCTTGCCAGGGTTTGTCATCTGCTCTTAGTCTGTTTTGTGGGTGTTCAAGTTCCAGGGTTGCATGTCCCAAACTGTTGTTACTGATGCTTTTTGATATAACCTTCATTAAAAAAAAAAAACCTTAATTATATTACACTGGACCTTTGTGCACATCTGAAACAACCAATTTTAGCTCGCTTTCCACTCCGATTAAGACAACTTTATTTTCTGTGCTCAAAGTCAGAGTGCGTGCCTGAGGTGACCATACTAAGAATATCTGCTCTCACTGAAAGTTTGAGCTTTTGGTTGATATGAGCTGATCTCATCACTTGAAATTTAGTTTGATCTTTGTAACAGCATACATATGAGAGAAAATTAAAGTATAATTGTTGCCTTTTAACTAAGAAGCTGGTATTTGTATAACGTTGACATACTGCAGGTCAGTTTGCTAAAAGTGCAGAAAAAGTGTTTTAGCTTTTGCTCATGTGTGACTTCCAATCTTTTGACAGGATAGTATATTTTCATATCTGTTTAAGATAACTCTCATGTGAGGTAGATCTGATACATGTCTGACATACTGACCCGAGTGAAGAACCACTGGGATGAAACTGGTTTCCATGATGCTGTTCACGTCACATCAAGTAGCTGCCATTGCTCTTCAAAAGGCCATAATTACAAAGGTGGCTGGGATCCTCTTCCTCAGTGTCATGATGCTGACTTCAGTGGCTTCCAGGTTTATTTCTGGACAATGTTTTGTGTGACGTTTTTGTTACCGTTGTTTTGATTGTTCAGTTGCTGCAATCTTATATTGACTACGCATAAAATAATTGTTACCAATCAGAGGATAAAATCAAATCTGAAATATAAATCCTGCTTTAGCTTCTTTTTGTTTAATTTAGAAACTTTATGTCTTTTCATCGTGTTTCTTGGGGGTTTGAGTACAAAGCACCTGTTTTTTTAAAAAATGTAGTTATTTCTCCTTGTTGCTGTTATTCCTGCATCTTTCCACTGTTGGAATTCCCCCAAAGAAAACGACTTCTTTTCTGGTTTGAATCAAGTTCAATCAATCCTTTTATTAGTCTTTTTTTCTTTTGCATATTTCCTATTCAGTATGAGCTTACAGTATATGAATGTCTACATAACAAAAGACTGAAGGTCACAACACAATACCTTCATCTAACTCTCTCTCCATCACTTTCTGTCGTCCTTTCTTTATTAACTAGTTACATAGAAAACCAAACCGGCCTGGAGAACATAACAGAAGTCGACCTTATCTTCTACAGAGAGCTGAAAAACCTGTAAGTCATTCTTTTCTCTCAACTTATTTTGAGTTTGTCAACCTATACAACCGACTGATCTGTCCTCTTATCATTGTTGTGTGTGTCAAGTTTTCTATTCTCACACTATACTTCAGTCAGAAAACTGATGTTTGAAATGATTTTCCTACAGCAGGAGAATAGAGGTAGACTGGAGTCTAGGCTCTGAGCACATTACTTCCCGCAGATATGATTATCTTGCTCAAAGCCTACAGGTGGATGCTTAGGCAGAGGAGGGGTTGAACCAAAAGGGAGTGATGAAGGGCAGCAACACTCACATATCAGAGGGATAGATGGGACATTTTTAGTTTAAATAGACTCACAAAAGCAGGATTGGTTTATTACCCCTGAAGAAAGTGAGGCATGTGCCTGAACTAGTTTGCAGGATTTGCTCCATTTAGTGTTTACTCTATTACGAGACAGAAAGAAAGCTCAAAGCTAAGATAAAACAGTCAAAGCTTATTTTTGGGAACAAAATTAAGCTCCAGCCTCAAAAGTATGTTCGCATACTTCCCAGACTGTGTATCTGAAAGTGAAATGATCTTCTTACTTCTGAGTTTGTGCAGAAATAGACAAACGTTGAGGTTGCGTGGTGATGCAGTGGTTAGCAAGAAGGTCATAGGTTTGAATCCGCTGGCTGACTGAGACCTCTATGAGGATTTTTGCATGCCTGCATGGGTACTCTCCTGATACTCAAAGGACTATGATGTTGCATGCATGACATGTTTGCTAGTTTAACTGGTGATTCTAAATTGGCTGCAGGCGTGAATGTGATGGTCTGCTCCAATGTTTACCCCACCTCTCAACAAATGAGAGTTGGGATCGGCTCCAGCGCCACCGTGCCACTCTAAATTGAATAAATGGTTAAGAATGAAAGGATGAACTAAAAGTCAGATACACTGTGTACAAAATGATTAAACGACAAGGATTAAAGTTGTTTTCTTTCCAACAAAGACAAACTTGATTATATTCCAAGTGTTTTTTTGCTTCTTGATTTTTCATGTTCATTGTGCTTTATCATCCTCTCCAGCACAGTCACATTTTGCAAGCTGAGGTTCATCTCTGCCTACGCCTTCCAAAACAACCTCAAGCTTCAGTATGTGTAAGTGTCCTTGTTGATACCGAAGGATTGTGTTCCCCGTGTCGTGTTTTGACCTGTGGGCCGGTCATCCTGTTTGTCGCTGTCAGTCAGCCGGCTCTTTGCACATGTCACATGAGATTCAGACAGCTGTGTCCTCCAATCTGGAAAATCATTTTGGATGCACATTAAACCATGAATGACTTTTTTTTTTGCATTTTATTAAATACATATTAGTTTATACTTTCCTGGCTGATTATATTATATGGTACTTTTAATTCAGTTGTCTGCCTGTGCAAAACACAATTAATATATAGCTTCAGCTTTCCATATTATGTGGATTTATGATCATTGATTAGCAAGAAATTGAATATTACATGGATCAATAGTGAAAACGGTTCATAGCTGCAGTCCTAAAGTCAGTTATTACTGATAAAATATCTGTAATTATAAAATTTGATCCAGTTATAACCACCAAAAAGCTAATTAGCAAGAAGCCTCATTGTTAATTACAGCCTCTACATTGTGTTGCATGAAATTATTTTTTCAGTCTTTATTTTTCCAAACATTGTAGCTTCACGGTCCATTCCCAGCAATAAATAATACCAGGAAGCCTTATCGACCGAAACCATCAAATTTGTCTATTCATCAGCCAGCGACCCTTATCGCCACCATCTTGTCCTCATCATTTTACTGAGCGTGTGCAACATGTCCAGTGTTGTTTATCTGAAAGACAGCCGGGTTTCGAGGACCATAGATGGAGGGGTAGTGGTGGTGGTGGTGAGGCAGGCAGGGTGAGCTCAAGAAATTGGAGAAGACATCCACCAGTCACCTTTTACTCGCTCACTTTGGCGGATTATCGACAACTGATGCATAATAAATACACTCCACTAAGGGTCCATTATCACTTAATCAATATTTCACTGTGGAGGGAGAGGGCGGCTGGGTTTGGGTGGAGTGGAGGGCTTTCTGTGTGACAGATGTGTTTCTGAGATTAAGGCTGACTGATTGCAGCCAAACTAAGCACTGAGCAGGGAAGCTCAGTCGACTCCAACCTCTCTTTTCTCTCTTCCTGCTCTCATTGTTGTATGAACAGCAAAAATGCATTTTGTAAAAAATGCTCATATAAATTGCAAAAAGAGAAAAAGAGAAACGAGCTGCTGTTCGTGCCTCTGCTCTGCCCCTGTGGACCGGGGGAAGAATCGAGTCTGGTAATGGATAAGCCCCAATGGCTAACCCATCTGACATGAACTTTTGGGGGCAAGGAAAACAAATAATTGAACCCTTGGTCCTGTCAGAGTGATTATGTATTGGTTTCCATTTGGACGCTCCCCAGTGTGGCTTTCTGTCATCTTCAGAGGGAGGTTTATTTACAGGCTGATTCCTGGGAAGTCTGAGGATCATTTGTGGTGATATTCAAGTGGCCTGAGAGGATTGACTAAAGGATATGTAGCATTCGATTACAGTGTTATTATTGTAAGTCGGCATATACGGTATGATTTGATTCATCACCATATTTGAAATGTTTTGAAATCTTAACGAGGAAACAGAATAAGGAGTGTGTTTGGGTGGGTAGGTAAAATGAAAAAGACTCCCGTTCCTACATTTGAGGTCTGGCGTATTGAAATTTGAGATAAATTGTAGTGGTAATAGTAGATATTGATGATGCTGTAGACAGCTAACACCAATGTGATGTCTGCGCGGCGTGAGGCACAATGATGTGTGCCCCATGCAAAGATGTTCATGATGATATTGCTGATGTACTGAAGTTAAATTGGCCTTCTTATACTTTTATTTTACATCAAACACATGTACACATAAGGCTTTAGACTGCTCTGAATGCTTGATTTGACACTGTTGTGTTTGTTCTTGGCTCTGTCTGATGTCAGTAAGAGCAGATATTCTAAATATAGTAATCTCAGCCACACAAAGGGAGGATAGCCCCAAGGGAATAGGACAGGCTTGTTAAAGACAGCTGTCGAATGGAAAGGCTGCACTGGATGAAAAAAGGAAGGATCAGAGCAAAATATGTCCCATTTAAAAAGAGAGATTATGTCATTGTAATCTTTATTTTCTTAATCATCTTAATTTAGCATGTTAACAATATTAGCATGTTCACTGTTACAGCTAAGGCTGGTGGGGATGCAAGTAATTTTGTGTTTGTTTAAAACAAATTGTAACCTATTAAAACTTTCTCAAAACACAGTTGACCTTCTAAATGGTCAGAAACGCAGAATTGATGACATTTAAAGGAGCATAAATGTCTGCTCCAAATTTAGCAGCAGTTCATCCAGATGTTTAAGAGACGTGAGACATACAAGTTAAGATAAAGAAAGAGTCTGTGACTCATTCTCATTGACTCATTCGCTGCCTTTGCTACAGCCGTTTGGCCAGTAAAAACCCAGATGTCTCGGCGGTTTTCATAGACATTTTTCAGACATTTCTTCGATACATGTGAAATTTTTTTTCTCGATATGTATTTCTTTAGCGTATTTGACTCCAAAGAATTACTGCTGGGCCCTGTCCCTCACCCCAGAAGTGTTTGCGAACTGAACTAATCACCTAATGTACTGAACTCTAAGCAAACACTGAGAGATGTGCCGGGGGTGCTTGTGAATGTGGCTTCTCGGCTGGTGTGAAATACGTGCCAAGGTAATTGATCAGGACCCATTTGGATGCATTAACGTTTTCCACTGAGTGTAATTCAAGGCAGGTACACATTGTTCTGAAAGCGAGCAATCAAATCACAGCGTGACTCAACTGCAGAACAGGACCAGATTACTACAAAGAAAAATAACATATTTACTCGAATCTTTCCTTTATTTCGACTCGTAATAGCTTTGTTTTGGTTTGTTTTTGGAACCACGCTCCTTCACAAAGCAACATTTGAACAGACAGCACAATAAGACAACTATTGTCTGTCTGTGCTGCTGGAAAGGTAAAATCCAGACACAGCAAAGATGTCACATGTAAAAGCTTAAGGTTAAATGATATAATGGCTGCATATCAATGGAAAATGCAACAAAGGAGAATTAAGAAGTGTTCACAATGTCACCTGTCTTCTCTTTTTGTTTGACAGAAACTTGGCATCAAACTCTCTGGAGCACATCAGCTGGAAGGTGTTTCATTTTCTGCCTCTGCTTAACCTGTGAGTCTATTTCGAATTTGGAGTAAGAATACTCTCTGTCATCGAAACCATTTTAAATTTGTGTTAGCTAGCGTGGTAATAAAAATGTAATACTTTTCAAAGGTACAACTTGGGTAACCATCTGTTCTGCAGCAGCAGACCGCATGAAAAAATATGGCCATTAGTGCCAACACATGACAGAGCTTTGTGGTTACCCTCATAGTTGACCTCAGCTCTCCATCCACACAGTGTGCATACAGTCAGTTGGTCACATTACCTTCACAGAATTGCTCTACAAGCTTTAAGTTACCCAAGTTGAATTTTCTGGATAAAAATAGAGTGCATTTGGAAGAAAACTTGACTGCACCAGGTGCAAGAACCTGCAGCTGGATGGCTTTGAAAGTGTGACAATTGCAGAGACAGAGAAGGAGAGCACAATCTTTGGAGTTTTGATTATACTTTGCACCAGAAACTCATATTTCAGAAGTCAGAATGTGTGTTTTATCCAGCCTTCGTATATCTGTTTTCCACTGACTGAGTGCTGGAGCTGATGCAGGGGCTGTTCTACGCTGGATCCTCTTCAACACCAGCCTGCAATTGGAAACATTTTTCCAATTGCAGGCTGTTGATTCTGTCATCTGGACGTAGAGTTTTCAGTGGGTTAAACGTTTCATAACTAATCCAAGTGCCTTCTTCACATCATGTTTGGATCAAGACAATTTCATTTTGTCTCATTAGTTTAAATTCATTTAGTTTCTAGACTAGATATTCTTATTTCACTTAGTTTTTATAATTTGAAAATAGTTTTAGTTTAGTTTTTATTTAGTTTCAGTGTTAGTTTTAGCCCTTTAAATTATTATTTCTTATTTTTGGAGGGCATACAGGTGTAAAATGAGTTCATTTGTGGATTTCACCCACTTTACTTAAAGTTGGGCTGCAAGTGAGCTGAACTAGCAACTGCCCAGTATAATATGGTCATGTGACCAGCATGTCAGGCCACAGTGACCTCATGGCCCAGTGCTGTTCCTGCTGTTTCTGTTTCTGATGAGAACTTTGGTCAGTTATACTTTTGCTGTTAGCTTTTTCTAGCCCAAGGACAGAGGTGTTATTGAGCATGAAACTAAACTAACCTGGGAAACAGTCTTTGTGCTACATCTATAACTACACGTCCTTAATTGTTGATTCAATTCAGAGGTGAACATATTTAGATATTGTAAAGTTAACTGTTTCTTTTCGAAATTGTCGTATTCTCTCAGCAAAACCTTACCGCTCATGTAGTTTGTAAGGTTCCTGAAAGTATAGAAGCTTGTCTGTACGAATGGTTATTTGCTAATTAAAGATAATTCTTCAAGGATTTATATCAATTATTTTATACATTCCTTGTCATGCACTTGTATTAGAAGCTTTCAAATGAAACACTTGGAGGGTATTTGTATATAACAGTGAGTTAAAACTGTTTGCATGAGGACTGAACGTGTTTTTGATTCATGTCTAATAATTTCAAGTCATTGTTTGTTGGTTTCTCTTTTCAGCGTTTTGAGAGACAACCCTCTCATTTGCTCATGTGAGCTCTACTGGCTGAAGCAGTGGCAAGAGCGCGGTGACCTGGATAACCAAATGTTGTCTTGCTTGTCCGATGGCGAGAAAATATCCCTTTTCAATTTGATGATAGAAAACTGCAGTGAGTATGCGTTTCATTGTTTCTTGTTGAGAAAGCTGTAAAAGGTTTGACACCAGTCAGCTGTTATGATTTAACACAAGCCAACAGGTTTTATGACATTACCAGTAGTTTATTGGCAAGTCATGCTACACGTGTGCTGGTTGCACACGTGAGATCTGGTCAAAGGTTTGGGTTTTTGTTTTTAAAAAAAATAATGTTCTCACCTCATGCGCAGTTAAACCCTGTTCGCCAAAATCGAACCTCAGGCTTCAGATTGTTGTAAATGTTTGATTTTCAATATTTTTCTCCGTCCTTCTGCCTGAGCTCACACGACTCAGCACTGACTTCCTTGTATGCTCTGGCTCTGCCATAGATTTTAAATAAAAGATGGACGTAGCCACAGTGATGTCACCCAGTGGCTTCTAAACTCTGCATTTTGAAGCATCCACTTAACTTTATGGCCGTCACAAGTCACCATATTTGCACAAGAGGATGACGTTATATAGACTTCATGAGCACATTGCACAGCTACACAGTCCTGCTAAGTAACAGTAACTATTAACACTTCTTTCAATAAAGCTGAAACACAAGATTAAAAAATCAGACTCGCTGCCATAAAAACAAGGAGATGCTTGCATGTATTTATGTTTTATATCCTTTTTAAAAAGCTACTTTTATTCCTTCCCAGTTGGGAGGTTGGGAGTCACCTTACTACCATGACAAATATAGACTCTTAATCCTAATCTTATTGGATAGTCTGTACATCACTATTACCAGTCACTATTCATTGGTAATTACATAAATAAGTAGAGCATAAGACTGCCTGTGAGAATCAAAGCACTCAGGCTGATAAAGGTAAGCCTCTACTTAGTCAAATGGGTCAGTTATTAAAAATGTAGACTTAAATAACTGTTTGTGGTTTGCCTAAAAATCTTTATTAGTGCTATGATTTGGGGTTTCTAACTATGGGAGTCTATAGTGATCGTCTAGATTTTGGAGCCAGTCTCAAGTGGCCACTCGAGGAACTGCACTTCTTGGCACTTGAGTCCCAAATTTTGCTTCTTGTGCTGTGTGTGAGATGAGGAGGAAGCCAGGCGAGGAGCAGCCAGTCAGAAGAAATTGGACTTTTTATGAGGTTGAACACCAGTCGAGATGTGCTGTATGTGAGAGCCAACAGAGTAAGATCACACATAAAACAGTCTTTAACTGCACGCTTACTAGTAAAAGTGTACTGTCTCATATACTGCCAGTATAATAGGGTAGCCTTTTAGAGCGAGTAAGAAGCACCTTTGCCTAATCCAGTATTTCTGAGAAGTGAGAATGTTTCTTAGAGAGCGTCTCTCCCGTGGACTACATGTGAGAAAGGTCAACTCTTCTCCAACCTGATTCTTCAGAAATTCTCCACAATTCATGTGTGAAAATGACACAAGATAAAAAGCATGTTTTAAATATGTGAATAACGCGAGGCTCAAGTGGAGCCCCTTAAAAGGTGCAGAGCTGGAAATGCGCAGCCTGTAACACGACTTATGGATTTTTCTTTAGGGCAGAAGAACTTGTTTCATTTGTATTTGTTAAACCACATGTGGTGGAGATTTATTTTGTAAAGTTCATCAGATCGGGGCGATCGTGGCTCAAACAGTTGGCAGTTCATCTTGTAACCGGAAGGTTGCCGGTTCGAGCCCCAGCTCGGACAGTCTCGGTCGTTGTGTCCTCGGGCAAGACACTTCACCTATCGCCTACTGGTGATGGCTAGAGGGGCCGATGGCGCGATATGACAGCCTCGCTTCTGTCAGTCTGCCCCAGGGCAGCTGTGGCTACAACTGTATCTTGCCTCCACCAGTGTGTGAATGTGAGAGTGAATGAATAGTGGTATTGTACAGCGCTTTGAGGGCCCCGAAAAGTGCTATATAATTTTTTAATCATGTTTTGTAAGCAGTATTTGAAATAATGCATCTACTTCAAATTGCCTTGAAAAATAATATGTTTTTGTTCCTATTCAGGATATAAAAGGCTGCAAAAAAGCAGGTACACCAAAATGTGGGGAAGAAATTGGCTCAACATTGTTGCTCTAATCACATACAGCAGGAACTTCTTGTTGCCAGGAAACATATGAGAGATTTTGTCCCTGTGCTGTTTTTCTAAAGAGCTTTGAAAAAAAAAAGGAGGAGTTCAACTCTATACTTAGTTGCACCATCACAACAGCAACCTGTGTTTATTGCTATGTACTCTCATGCTGTCTGTCCTGCACTCTCAGGCCTGCCTGAGGTGAAGATTACCGCCTCACAGGATAAGATTCTGGAAGGAGGCAACCTTACATTCGTATGTGAGGTGGAAGGAAGTCCCACTCTCACCGTGAGATGGCAGACCGAGGCCCTCCACTCTCACTTTTTTACCAAGGTAGCTGAGAATTTTCAGCATGTGCTCAACAAATACAAAATTAGTTTTTCTTTGTTTTTTTAAGATGTCATAGTTTTTCCTCTTCCTATGATCCCCGATGGACTGGATGATGCTCAGATCAGAGCTCTGTGTTATGAAAATTGACTTTCTATTAGTTTTTTTATTAAATTTAAAAAGAAATTTTTTAATTTAGTCTCTCTCCCCAACCAGATGCGGCAGATGGCCCCGCCCCTCCCTGAGCCTGGTTCTGCCAGAGGTTTCTTCCTGTTAAAAGGGAGTTTATCCTTCCCACTGTTGCCAAACTGCTTGCTCATAGGGGGTCATCTGATTGTTGGGTTTTTCTCTGTACGGTCTACCTTGAGGTAATTGCTGTATCATTGTAGTCAGGGTTTTTACATTGTGGTGCCATTTCTGATCTGCTGTAAAGCTCTTTAGATCAGCTACATTGAGCCTAAAGTGACATAAATCACCTTCAAATGCGGCTCTCTAATCTATTGATCCGTACTAGAGTAAATTGGGTCTCATTTCATCGTTGTAACACGTATACCTCCAAGCGATGTATTTGTAGTTAAACACCTTGTCTGTGTGTGCCGGCGGTAGCTGCAGGAGAGCAGAGACTCTGCGCTGGAGCTGGTCCTTTACCTCACCAACGTTTCCTCCAAGGACAACCTACACAACCTGACTTGCGAGGCCGAGAACCAAGCTGGGCCAGGGGAGAGGATGGTGCAATTGGACATTGAGTGTAAGTGCCTGCAAAATAAAACCGAGCTCTTGAAAGCTCACAGGCTCAATACAAATCGTCGGGCTTAATGGAGGTTAGGGCGAGAGCACACTGGGGCCATTTTCTAGTGCAGGCAGGGTGGACAGCCAGAGAAAGGGAAAAACGCACTGCACTGATTTCTTCTAAATGCCCCTTCTACAAATACGAGTATGTACCCACCATGCTTCTAATGGAGCTCTCTGTCACCTGCCACTCACTCTGCCGACTGGTGAGTAGTGTTAAAATAGTATAAGTGAAGTGCAGCGGGTATGGCTTGCTTTTTAATGCAGGGATACAATGAGAGGACAAAAGAAAGTGAACTCACCTCACCTTGCTCTTAAAGAACTCCTTCACCTCATGTACTTTTAAATTACACTTGCAGCTTGACCCTGGAGGTTTACTGTTGTTTTCTCCTTTCGGATGCATTAGTGCATCTGGAAGTTGAACAATGAGGAATGACAGCACCCAGCGGTCCCACTGAAGACAGAGTCAGATGCATTAGTGATACATTACTGACAATACTACCCAAACAATATCATATATCACCAACTCAGTGACACTCATTAGAAAATAAAGCCAAAAAGAGCAGGGGCGCCAATCAGCTGAGGCCAAATGCACAAGCATCAAGGGACAGATAATGAGCATCAGGAAAATGAGGCTGATAACCCGTGCTAAGATCTGATTTGAGCCTGTGCTAATGGACTTTTCCCTCCTACACCGGAAAACCGCTTCATCCGCAGTGATTGGCAGTCTGTAAATGCGTTAGTGCAGCTAATCTATCAACATCGGCCCCCCTGGTGGACGGACTCTCGTTAACCGCTAGCCCTTTAATTATTCTTAATTACCTCCCAGAACAGTGGGTGTTTACTGCTGAGTGGCTCTCTGTGCCATTGATTCATGGTACTCGTGTGGCTTCCCTTTCATATAAAAGAGCTTTTCTAAATTGTGCTTTTTTTTTTAAACTTCAAGTCTGAAAAGGTGAAAGCAAATCATCATTTTTGTCAACATCTACTGTCCCAAAAGATGGTGTCTTGCCTGCAAAGCATCCAGTTAGCACCGACTCTACCTGGACTGGGGCCAGAAATCATTTATTGTGTTTGCCATGTTTCACAATGTTCATTGTATAATTCTGCAATGAAGTCTGAGAACTGGCAGGCTCATTAAACATAATTCTAGCCTTCCTTTTCACCCCTGCAGTGAAATTGCTTGTGTAAGATTAGCAGAGGTCGCTAATGGATGATTAGTTAAATGTGATAAATAGCACTAATTTTCACTCGGTGTAACAGACTTTAGCGAGCCCTCGGTAAAGAGACGAATGCCTCGGTATCTCCTTAGCGCAGCACTTTCTGGGGTTGGGTCACGGGTTAAGAGCAGCAGAATGACTCGTGCACATCAGGGGTCTCTGCAGTCGAGAGTTGTGTTCGATCTAAACAAAGCCATTTCCTGTAACTTCATGTCCAGAAGAGCTTCCAGGTAGCATTTGTGGTCAGGGGCACGACAACGACCAGGATTTCATTATTCATAGCAGGTCAGCGCAGGTTTGCAGTGCAGATGGAGAGCATTGATTCTTGGAAACTCAGAGGCAACCTATAGAGTACTGACCTGCTTTGTTATGTGTGAGTAAAATGCACATTCAGCATAAAATCAGGGCTGAGCATATATAATTATTATTTGACTGTAAGTGTATCTATGTGTATTTCGTGGGAGAACTTTTTTAGTATGGGCAAAGTTGCAAGCATAGACTGTATACAAAAGATGGACATGACCACAGGTCGAGTGTCTTGTTATTTTTTAATTCAGGGTTGGCTTTGATAACTTTGATTGATATGTTGGTTGCAATAATAAGACTTGAAACAAATGATTGAGACCTTAAACTTGTCAGTAAAATGTTAATTTGGGTCATAATTTAAGTGAGCTGTAGACTACAAAATCTGACTTCCTGACTTTCATCCAGAGAAGTTCCCAATGAGGTGATTTCATTGGTTAATCTTTCTCTGATTGATTGTTTTGCCTATGACTGAGTGTTTTAAGTCAGACGCAAAACCACAGAGTCTTTATAGATGTATTATATTATATTATGACTATGTTGTATATAATATTAAGTGCTTAGCTGAAAGACTGGAAACGGGTGGAACCAACTAGTCAGATGCAGTAGAACTGAGCTAAGCTAACTGTTTGCACTACACAAACATGAGGATTGAGTCAATATTCTCATTGAACTCTTGCCAAAGATTTATTTCCCAGACTAGCTTTTTTACTTTCTCAGTTGATTTTTTCCATCTAAAAATACATTAAATCAAATCACCAGGACACCATAGACAGTTTTTGAGCTCATCTTTTCTTTAGAAACTCATTTATGTCTGTGCTCTGCTACTTCACAACTCAAAACTCTGTGTCTCTTCGCAGTTCCAGTCAGAATAATCTTCCTGAATAATGCTGTGCCGCAGCACCACTGGTGTTTTCCGTTTGCTGTGGACGGCAATCCCGAACCAAACATCACCTGGCTTTACAACGGCAAGAAATTAAACGAGACCAGATACATATACACGCAGCCCATCGTAGATTCAGGCGATGGATCGGAGAAGCACGGCTGTCTCTTCCTTGACAAGCCAACCCACGTCAACAATGGCAACTACACTCTGATTGTGGAGAACAAACTGGGAAGAGATGAGGCCACCGCACTTGGGTTTTTCATGCACAACCCCTTTGACAATTTTGAGGGGGTAATTCCATGTGAGTTCCTGTTTTGCTACTCTAAACTAAACTACTCACTGATTACTAATTATCTCCTAGAGTCATGTCTCACTTGGCGCCATCTTGAAACATCTTGAAAGCCAACTCTGAGCACATTATTTGGCCAGTTATTTTGAGGCCTTATCCAAATGAGCCGGGACATAAAACCTGGATGTGTAGAATTATATGTTTTATTAATGATAAATGCTACTTTAAAAGTTTGCTGATATTATACCAAAATTGTAAAAGGTTCTAATTCTGCTTTAATATCTTTGTAATCACTTAAATGTTATTAATTAAAGTCATTAGAAGTTTTTCATCATCTTGTAATATCAACTATAGCTGCTGGGTTTCCCTATGGAAATCACATTAAATCAATTACCTACCAGAGATGAAAGAATTTGCAGACATCTTAATCATCACGTGTAGAATAAATATCTTTATTTCATCTCCAGGTTTTCTTTGCATTATAAGTCACTTTAAAAATCAATCAAGTGAACAGCGTATGTGCCCGTGCACTGCAGTGGAAACCACTGATTACCTGCCTGATTCCTAGATAGGGAACCAAGATGACCACCATCATCTAGAGAGGAGGCATCTAGTCTTTCCTGGTGCCAACCTGTCACATATGCAGCTTTGTGTCTTTGGTTTAAGTTTGAAGGAAGAAGAAGGGCATGCCTTTTATTTTGAGCAGTTATGTTATTTATGGAGGTAACCTGCTATCATTTAATTTATTGTTTTGGCCTTGGCCTACCCTGACATTAATTTAAACTCCTGCTTTTGTGGCTCTGTGATCAATAAATACAACATATATTATCTGTGGTTCTTGTGGCTGCTGAGGGCAAGGGAGATGGATGCCTTTTATATTGTGTCTTGGCTGCCCGTTGATGGGTGTAACAACAAGGTTGGAGGAAAGTCCACTGGCAGCCATACTGTAAAAGCCTTCAGTCAGTTATTTGAACGGTTGGTCGCTGGGACATAGAAAACTGTATAGAATCACCACAAACTACACATGGAAGCCCCAGGAAGCTTACATGTGCAAAAATCTACATCTACCTACGTCTTTACTATGATTATCAGCATCGGCTGCACAGATCACAGTTTAGCGACAGCCACGAGGCCTGTGGCATTTCATACGCCGAATGTGAGACATCAGATCCAAATGGAGAACGCAACATTGCATTCACAGGAGGGTGATGAAAATATATAATATATAAGAAATAATAATAGAAATAATATTTAGGAAAAGCAAAAGAACTGGAAGAAAAGTTTTGTTCAAATTGTCCTGTTCAGACTTTATAGTCTTTATATATATATCTCTATCTATATCTATATAGATATAGATAGAGAAAAAATATATATATACATAACTAACAATGCAACAAATGAAGAGCTTAATGAAAACAGAATGGAGAAAATGATATGAAGTGTTGATAAAGAGCAAAGGTATCATCTGGACTTCAGTGTGATTGAATTATATAAACTGTATGATGATAGTACCAAGTTATGTGCCGGGAATTCATAGCGGTGCTCAAGGTGTGTTATTGCCCTTCAGTGTTAAAGTGATGAGGAGTGAAGAGGGAGCACATTAGATATCTGACAGAGACAATAATGTAAGTGTCACTTAAAACGAATTGATCGTCGCACTAGTTCTGGGGATTCTTTCTATGTCGTGAACTGAAAGGTGTCGACCTTACTGCATTGTGATTCAGTGCTTGATATGTAGAAATAGCCAAACTAAACAGAGTGAATGCACCGTGAGAAGCGCATGTTGCATCATGGTACTCTGTGCTGTTTGCTCATAAATGTGTTTTGTGCTTTTCCCACATGCAAGACGTCGTGGGTCAAAGTAAGTGTTCAGTTGATTTTGAGTCTATAAAATATCTCAGCATGTCCTTTGAACACTGAATGGAGATCTACGTGTCATTTTATTTGTTGCTCTCACTCCTGCCCCGCAGGTCCTACAAACAAATCAGACATGGACGTCACAGAAAACCCGGAGAGTCGGATGTATTTGGTGCGTCTGTGCCAACGCTTCTCAATCCCAATGCAAAAGCAGCAGCTAATGAGTGTTAGTGACTGAAAATACAATGTTTGTTTGACAGGTGTATGTGGCCGTGGGTCTCGGTGTGTTTGCTTGCAAACTTCTGCTCATCATGGTTTTGGTTGTCTACAAATGTGGCCATCATTCCAAGTTTGGAATTCACAGTAAGTTATTTAAGTTTGGCTGCAAGCTTGAAATTAGGCACGAAAGTTAAAGGAGAAGCCTGATGACACTCGTCTTTTAATTGGAACTGCAGTCACAGACAGTAATTAGCTCTAATTAGTCTAACGGCTATTTCCATAATAAGAATCTTAGCTCTGTCAAAAGATTTTAAAAAAATAACTTAATGGGGCTTTTAATGTTCACTACTTATTGTATATTAAGTCTGTTGCTTCATCGTGACTGGAGAAAGGTGAAAAAGGACTAGTTATGGTTTTAGTTATTCCCTAACCTGCCCGAGAAACTGGGCATCTAACCCCAGGATATAAGAGCAATATCAGGCTTCTCACCTATTGTGACTGTATTGTGCATGAATGACAAATGTCAATAAATGATATGACTGGGACAACTTTTGTATTAAAAGGAGTTTGAGAGGACTGAGTGAGCTGCACCTCTGTAGCTGCCTGCCGCTCATCTGCCTGAGGTTAGCGGCAGACTTACACATGTGCCTTATGACAAGTCAGTGATATTCATTTCCGCTCAGAATTAGACTCCTTCCTGCCACTTCAGTCACCTATAATTTGGTTTCTAAAGGTTGAAAACTTTTCCCAGATGTGTTGCAAGACTTGTATTTCTTTCAGTAACAATGTGCTAAAAGGTTATTATGGTTTTTTTTACTTATTGCAGTTTTCATGTTTTCATACTCAAACTTTTAGAGTCGAAGGGAGAAATGAAAGTAAAAGCTTTGGTAGGAAAACACTGACGTGCTAGAAAATAAATGAATTATGGAAGGAGGTAGGTTTATGCCTTGTTGGCATGCTGTCAGACATCGATCAAGAAAAAGTGACCACAAACATTACACAAACGGATTGTGGTCACATGAAGCACAGGCTTTAATCACATGGTTTTTCTATAATGGACAACAGTAGCTCTGTTTTATATATATTTTTGCATCTATGAAGATTGCATTCATTGCTCCCATCAAAACACACCTGGATCCCCAACCAAACACTTTGTTCAGTTGTAACGGGAGAAAATTGTGCAGATTTTTAAAAGTAATATAGATGTATTAGAGTGAAAGGAATCTAAGGCTTTACATGATTTTTCTATGCGCGCCTCTGAAGAATGTATATGGAATAAGTCAAATGTTCTGCCAAGTAACTGTTTCAAATCACAGATGGTTCTGTCAGTCTCTTAAAAGGTAATGCACAGGAGAGACGGACTAATATAGGATTTCCACTGAGCTGTAACTTTGCTCGCAGGCAGCCACTGTGTCGGCTAAAGTGCCTTAATTATTGCACGAGAACGGCGGCAGAAACCTCCCCTGGCCACCGCCATGGGGTGAGGGCCATTAAAGAGGATGGCTGGATGGACAGATGGATGGCTGGATGGATGAATGGATGGATGCAGGAACACACACACACACCCTTCTCACTCTCAGAGTGCCTAAGTGGCCCTGATTGCCTAAGTGGACCCTGCTCCCTCTTTCCTTCCTTCCATCGCTTCTGTGCTCTCTTATTGTTGTTCCATTTTCTACCGTGTTGGACTCTGGGGGTTCTGTGGTTTGCCTTCCTAAGTGAGGTTTTACAATTTGGACCCCACTTGTTTGGCTTTTAATACGCACTATAGTCGGGGGTTGCTAACCGCCCAGGCTTCCTGTATGGTCATATTTTTTTCACTTCAGTGTGCCCTGATTGCTGCATGGTTGATGATGGTGATTATTAGAGCTTGTCATCATCTGTCACCATGGTACCAACAAATGTGCATCCAAGTCAGTAATAGTGAATGCCAGTTCCTCGAAAGGAAAAATGGGTTCTGAATTGCTTCTTTTGATGGCTGCTGCAATCACAGATGGTTGGAGACTGATTAGGTCTCATTTCTCTCATTTTTATTGGCTTTGCTCCGTTTCATTAGGATCATCAGTTCTGGGGAAGGAGGATGACCTGGCCGTGTCACTGCGCTTCATGAACTTTGGTACCAGCCCGCCTTCCTCCGATGAAGACTCTGGCTTGTCTAGCTTCGTAGAGAATCCACAGTACTTCTGCAGCATAATCAAAGACAAAGACATGTGTGAGTGTTACAGCAGAGCCTTTCAGATGCTTGAATACACTCATGTTTCCCCAAAACCTGCATTTTGACACCTTGATTGTAGGTATTCATTTGCTTTTTCATTGGGAATGTTTCATTCACCATCAGTGCTTGCTGATGAACTTCTGTAATGTTTTATTTGAATGTCACAGAAAAGTAAACAGAATTGATGAAGTGTAGTTTTACTGCGAGCAGGACATAGAGGCTTTTTTCTGATGAATCATATTTTATATTTGATATTTTTTAAGAACATCATAACCAACATAAGACTAAAAAAATACATGCACGAGCTTCTCATGTTCCTTCTTTATGATGTTGCAGTCATTGGGAACGGCTACGTCGATCACTACAGCCGTCTTCCCTTGTTAGTCTACCACCACTATGTGTGGTTGGTTAGCCACCACCATTTTGTCCATGTCCGTATATACTAGGGCTGAACGATATATTGCATTTGCGATAATATCGCGACATGATCAAGTGCAATTTTCTAACCGCAAAGGCTGCGATTATACTCTGGACATGTCCAAATTCATGGGCTGCATCCTCCT